TTTTTCAAGTTAAAATAATTAAATTTTACAAAAATAATCATTACCTTGCTGTGAAACATGTTTTGAATTTTTAACTTACCTGTGAAGAAATATTTAGAGCTTGTTTGGGAGGGATTTTTGGGGGAAGAATTGATTTTGAATAGTGATATGATGGGAAATGTGTGGTTGAAAAAAAAGAAAAAATTATTGATGTGATTGAAAATATTATTTTATTGAAGAATGTGTGGTTGAAAATGAGAATTGATTTACTGTAGAAAAATCTAATCCCTTCCAAACAGGGCCATAATCTGGCCTTATTTCTTCATGAACTATAAGAACGTTTTGAAAATTTGTGCTATTAGTCCTTAGACTTGGCACCTAGAGCAAATATATATTCAACCTTTAAAATCAAACTTTTGAGTCACCAACCTTTATATTTCCTATGCATATTTTTTTTCCTTTTCATATAATTCCATCAACTTTAATTTTGTGCCCGCTTCCTTAACCTAAAATCTTAACTCCGCCACTTATAGTACTATTGAGCATCGAAAAGCGTTGCATATGGATATGCGCGTGATAATTCAGACAATTCATTTTGGCCAATGATCATAAATGCACATTTAAACGTCAAAATTTGCAAGCATTTATATTAAAAATTGTGTCAAAATTAACCTAACAAAGCTCAATCCATTTTTATAACTTAAAAAAATAAAAAATTGAATCCAACAAATATAAAAATGTGTTGTCACGCATTATACATTTTAGAACCTTGCTGGTGGGTGGTATTCTTACTGGGCATTGGATCAATAATGTTAGTTAAGTTGGCCTTCAAAAGGCTCAATTCTTCACGGACTACAAATGAATGTTTGGTGTAGATTTGTCATTTAATAATTTTCTTTTACTTATCTCTAATGGATACCTAAATCACAAATATATTTTTTTTCTCTAATATAATTCGTGGTAATCTATAATACTAGGTAAAATAATAATCTGAATAACTATATTTAAATTTTATAATCATTTGTCAAATGACATTAATATATATTAATTTTTGCCATTAATTATTAAATATGTCCTCTTAGGCCATCTTCAACCATTAGCACCAAATTGATGCAATTTTCATGCCATTTTACAAAGTCATATCCAACCATTACACCAAATATTATATCAAATAAATAGTGTTTCCTTTATTCTCTTATTTTCTCAGCAATTAATTCATTTTTGAGATTATTTAGTCACAAATTATATTGATACTTGAATTATTAAATGTAAAAATATATTTAATTAACTAAAATATTGCATTTATTAATAAATAAAAAATTACACTCAATACCACTGTTAAAAAAGTACATTCTAACACATAAAAAAATTTAATATAATAAAAAAAATCACAAAAAAAAGCACAACTAGTTATTGTTTTAGTGTAATGTTGTATTTTACTTATAAATTTTATTTTCACTATTTCATGTTGTTCTAGTGTTAATTTATTCTTAATTTCTAATTATTAAGTTGTACTATAAAATAAAGGACAAAATAGAAATTATGAAAAACTTTAAAAATCACGCTAACAGTATTACATCAAGAGTCATGCTACTTGTACAAAGTTATGTTACAAACTTATTTTACAAAATACGTGTTGGCAACATTTTGGCCAATGATTTAAAAAACAATTTTTGCAATCGATGACTTAGATCTTGCCACGTCATTTTATCAACACACTTTTGTAAACCACCTTTTTACAAGTAGCATAATTGTTACATCAATTCTGGTGCAACACTATTTATTACACCAAATTGGTACATAGATTTGGTGTTGGATTGGACTGATTTTTTGTACTAATTTGGTGTATGATTGAAGATGTCCTTAGTTCACTCGATAAAGGATAAAAAACTAAACATTCTTGCTATAAAAAAATGGAAATCATATAATCGCAAGGGACTCGAGATATAGTAGGCAAGAAGAATGTAGCGGCATTGGTGTGGCGTATTTATTCTTGTTCATGTCAAGCAATGCTAAACATCGTTCTTAATATGTATACATGCGCATGTGTGTACACACACCAACCCTCTTAGTCTCGGGAAATAATGGTTTGAGTGTTCATTCTAACAAAATAGTCTCTATTTATATCCTTTTTATTATATGGATTGCAACGTTTCTTTATTGAAATAATGGTCACACGATAAAATTTTAAACTCACAATAGTAAATGTTTTATCAATTATTACAATCATACTTGACATAATACTTGACAATGTTGGTGTTGTCAAAATTTGGATCATTCATTTAAAAAAAATAATTTTTGAAATGGATGAATGTGATATTGTCAAGTATGAGTTGTCAATCAATATTTTCAAACTAAATCATATATCTAGAATGATTCATGTTGTATCGCCTTTAAGTGGATCTCAATAGGCTAAATCAATGTTTCTGACTCAATAACTACCGTATTTGTTCAGAGTTGTGCTACAGGTACAGGAAAAGCATTGTCAGAATTTTTACAGATACATTTGACAGTTTTTTATTGGACAAATGCAAAAAAAAGACCAAACATGTATTGCTGCATGCCAACACAGCGCCTGTAAGAATAAAACCCTGTCATTTGTCCAAACTCACAAACCATCTTGTGTAGAATATAAACTGCTCAACTTAGCCCAGGTTTGTCATTCATTTTTTTCGAACTTATTTTTGCTTGAAACTCATTTTTATCATACATTTATATAATAAAATATTGTGTACATAAATTCAAAAAATTTCTTACAAATCACACATTCTCCAAAAAATTAGTATTCTAAAATTCATTTTTTCGTAAAAAATCTTTTTTTTAATAGCTACTAAACAGATGCTTAGTCATGTTGTAATAGTCAACTGCTTAAAATACAACATTAAGAGTGTGTTTGATTGCGAGTATGAAATTTGTATAAGAAGAAAATGAGTTGTACATAATTTATTTGTATGAAAATTATTAATTAAATGTGTTTGATTGATTTAATTTTTAACATAGAAAATATTATACTTGTCCTTTTTTTATTGGTGAGTAGATGTGATAGAGAGAGAGAGAGAGAGAGAGAGTAAATTACCTGGAAAAAAAACCACTCTTATCTAAAAAAAATATTTTCCTCGTTTTCAAGAAAAATATGGTCATGTGATGAAAAATAGGAAAATATTTTTCATGGAAAAATTATCAATCTAACAGCACAAAAGTATAAAATTAGATAGAAAAAACACATTTTCCAAGAAAAATATCAACAATCAAATGTACGCTAATATTATAGTTTGTTTGATAAAAAAATTAATTTACTTTGCAAGTAGTCAACTTAAATTTAGTCACAACTTTTATCAACTTTTCAACCATATATTTTATCATTTTCTATCAAAAGTTAATATCACCCATGCCCTTAAATTAAAAAAAAAAAAAAAA